TCAGCATTGGGGAGGCCACATCTGGAGTCCTGTGTCCAGCTGTGGGCCCCCGCTACAGAAAGGATGTGGACACATGGGAGAGAGTCCAGCGGAGAGCAACAAAAATGGTTAGAGGCTGGGGGACAGGACTGGTGAGGACAGGATGAGGGAAATGGGCTGATTGAGTCTGCAGAAGAGAAGACCGAGGGGGATTGAATAGCAGCCTTCACCTCCCTGCAGGGGGGCTGCAAAGAGGATGGAGCTGGGCTGGTCTCAGTGGGGGCAGACGACAGAAGGAGCAATGGGCTCAAGCTGCAGCAAGGGAAGTCAAAGTTGGATATTAGGAGAAACTTTCTCACAAGGAGGGTGGTGAAGCACTGGGACAGGTTACCCAGAGCAGTTGTGCAGTGTCCATCCTTGGAGGTGTTCAAGACTCAGGTAGATAAATCTGTGACTGGGCTGATGGAGTTGGGGCTGGTCCTGCTTGGAGCAGGGGGTTGTGTTAGATGTGACCAGCTGAGCTCCCTTCCCACCCTCGCTTTCTATGATTCGATGATTAAACAGGGGGGTAATCATCACAGGTCACAGCAGCCTTCAGGCTTTCCGGGTGCTAGGGGTAGGGAGAAGGAACTGACCCCACATCTGCACTAAAGAGGAGCGAAAGTGCCATCTCGTGGGCAAAACCAGCCACTGCCACCACAACACACGCCAGCTGCGTCGGCGCGGGGGGCAGGAGGGGTCTGTTCCAAAGTAGCAGGGACTTGCCTTTCAGGGCAGGACCCAGCAAGGAAAGCAAACTCAAAAGGAGGGGAAAGCGGGGCACAGCCCCCCACCGCTCCAGCCTGCCTGCAACCCCTGCAGGAGCTGACAAACATGAAGGGGGGTTTCCTGGGTGGCAAATGTCCCCTCCCCTGCCATGATGAGGGGTGGCTAGTCTGGGCCTAAATGCTGGGAGAAGGAGGGAGCTCTCTCTAAAGCATGGTGAGCCCTGTGCACAGAGATGGGCTGGGGCACCACCGTGCGCCTGTCTCATTACAGCAGCATCTGGGGCCCAGCAACCTGCCCTGTGTTTGGTGTCAGAGCGCTCCTCAAGGTAGGTGCTGCCCCCATTTTACAGACAGGGAAAACTGAGGCACGGAGTACTTCAAGCCTGGCATGGGCTGCTCAAACAGTGCCTGTTTTCCCTTGAGGGTGACGAGGTCAGGGGCAAACCTGCTCAGCGTGGGACTGGACCCACTGGCCACCAGCTTCAAGACCCATTAGGGAAAGCACACTCCTGTGCTGCACCAGATGGCCCATGCCCTCCTGGGGTCCCAGCCCCTGGCAGCATCCCAGTGGCACAACAGCCCCTGCCGTGGGTGGAAGCAGAGGCTGGAGCAGCGGTGGGGACACAGAGGGGTCCAGCTGGGATCTCCTGGCCTTTTTCTTTGTCGCTTCGGTGGCACAAAGCCCTTCCCAGATTCATTGGAAATCATCTCCGAATTAAATGTGAGACTTGTAGCCACCAGACGGGTGGGAACTGGCAGTTCAGCCAGATTCGCCAAGGGTTGGACACGTCCTTGGAGGAAAGGGGCATCCGTGGCTATTAATCATGGGTGTGAGGGGCACGGCCTCTGAGGCAAAACTTCCTCAAGACCCGAAACGCTGCCGGCAGGATCCCTGCTCTCCCCCTGGCCTGCGCATTTTCCCGTGCGTCAGCAGAGGGCACCATGACCAAGCCAGTCTGTAGCAGAGGCTCCCTGGCTGCCGGGATGGAAAATTCATCCAAAACTTCATCCCGGGGCCTGTGTCCTTAGGGGCAGGAGGCTCCTTCACCTGGGCCCATGCAGGGCAGGGCGTTGGCTCTGTACCAAGAGGTGCCAGCCAGTTTTGGGTGACTTTCTGTACTGTTGGATCTGGGTGCTGTCACCACCTTCCTATACATCTACCACGTCCCACAGCTGAGGTCCCTTCTGGCACCTTGCTGAGTTCCTGGCATCAGTGCCTTCTACCTTCTCCAGTTATTACACCGGGGTAACTCCTGTAGAGGGACTCTGGGAATCATCAGGAGTGAAATTGTAAGTGTTGTGTGTCCATTTCCACCCTACCGCAGCTGTGGGCTGGAGGCAAAGAAGCTATTATCGCCTTCCCCTCCCCTCCAACCTAGTCTGTAATACCCCCACTGCATGCCGTGCATTGCAATAGCCGCTCGTCTGCCTGTGCTCGACCCCGTGACATGCACATCGGTGCACACACTGCACTGATAGAAATGACCCCGCTATAAATGTGCTGTGTGTCCAGAGCCGGGGGCTTCCAGGATTCATCTGCTCCTACATGCTGACGAGCTGAAGGTCACTGGCCAAGTGACTGCTGCCACGTCCGATAATGGCCTGTACTGATTTTGTCTGTACGCGAGGGTCAGCTTTGGGGGCAGAGCAGCCAGGATCCCACCAGCATGCCGAGGCTGCCTGGAGTAAGCCAGGCCCGGAGGGGAAGGGACTGGCTGGTGATGGGTAGGTGTCCCGGCACTATAGACCCACTATGGACCGTAGGCCATCCATAAAAGCCCTCTGCAAGCACTTTGCAGCTTCAAGGTGCTCGTGTGCATGTCGTGGCATACGTACAGTCTGGAGGAATGGGGGTCGGAGCATAGGGCCGGGAGGCCAGACTCCTCCGGGGAAGGGGAGGAGAGGATAGTGGTTATAGCACTGGAGAGGGAGGCAGGACTGCAGCAATCTGTTCCCAGCTGGGAGAGAGGTCTGATGTAGCCCGTGTCCTGGAGAGGTGAGGGCTGTCGCCAGCTCCCTCCATCCTCCTTTGATGAGTACCCTATCTCCACCCCAAGCATCTGGGGAGGGGGCTCTGCAAAGACTTGCCATTATTCCCTCTTGGTGCTATGAAGCCCCCGACCCAGCTCAAGGCATCCCAAGGTCAGCAGAAGTCAGAGGAGTCCCCTGGTGAGCCAAGCAGATCCCCAGAGATCCACAGGGGATCCATAGATCTCATGGACCAACAAAGCCTTGGCATGTCCTCCCCTGGCTTCTTCCCCTGGCAGGGTCTGGCCTCCTGGTAGGTCCTTCTAGAAGACCAGACCCTCTGAGGGGAAGAAGCCAGGGGAGGAAATTTAGTCTGGGAGGTCCCTGCCCCTCCGGCACTGGGATACCCCCCTGGCAGCTCGTGGCAATACCCGGTTCTCTAGAAATATTACTCCTCTTACTCCAAGGTGAATCAATGATGCCGCGGTGGTATATGACAGAAGCCAGTGACGCTTCATTGCTTCATGCTAGCTGAGGCATTGCACCCGTGCTCCGGGGTCCCCGGTGAAAGGTCCCATGTCTGGGACAGCTTGGATGTGCCCATCGTGGGGAGCTGGGGGTGTCCCAGCCCTGAGAGGGGACGGAAAAGCCCCCCCGACTTCTCAGCCCATCCCGTCCAGGACGAGGTAGCAGTCACTTTGGCGTGAAAGCAGCTCCCAGCGAGAGGAGCAGCTCCAGGACACTGTTGTTATGGGAATAAAAGCGATGGAGCAAGCAAAATAGGTTGTAATTTATGCAGGACTTGGAGCAAGCTGCCCGCTGGCACAGACGCACCGTCCCATCGGGCGCCCTGTCTGGAATATTAATTAGGCTCCAAAACCTGCCTGGGGCCTGCGGGGCCGCGGGCGGGTGGATTTGCCTAAATAAAGGTACTTTTCAACAGGATTAGTAGCAGGGAGGCAGCCCCCCGGTCCCTGCACTGTGCAGCCCCGTGCAGGGACTTTGCTGTGTGGCTTCTACAATCCCATTCCCTGATTTTATTGAAATGCCACGTTGTTCGGGGTCAGACCGATGCCACACTTGGGGTCAGGAAGGACTTTTACCCCTTGGTCAGACTGGTATGGACTGGGAGGGGGGTTGCCTTTCTCTGTAGCAGGGGCACGGCCTCTACCTGGGATCCCTTGAGTGTATATTAGCAACCTTTTACAGAAGACGGTGGCTGCCGCGGCTCCCCTGCTTCACCTGTTCCAGGTTCAGGTGTGACGGCAGGGTTGACGGTGGTTTTACTAAGAGGCGAGATGATGGGTTTGTCTGGGGTGGTTGGCACAGGGCTGATGCTGCCTCAAGCAGGGGTTGGACTAGATGTGACTTCTGCCGGTCCCCTCCAGCCCTGTGAATCAGGAATAGCACTGACCCCGGTGCCTGCACGGGGGAAATGTGAGTCTAAAATCAAGAGTAGCCCTTTAATCACAGTGCCCTGAGCTCCTATCCTGCTTCCCTTGGAATAAGTGATGCCAAAGCACCCTGCTTTCACTGCCCCCCTCACATCTCTTGTCTGCCTGGTCTTTCAGGGGCTGCATCGGTAGCCCTGGCTGCTTGGGGGTCACAAATTCACAGAAGCTGGGGGCTGGAAGGGACCTCGTGAGATCATCGAGTCCAGCCCCCTGATGGGTTACCTGAACCAGGTACTCAAGTTTCCCTTAAACTCCAGAGGTATCTTGTCTAGAAGAAGGAGTGAGGACCACCCGGCGATGCTCGTGCTCACAGCCCAGAGAGGTGCCATCTCCTGGCTTGGGGGCAGCGGGGAGGCAGGAGGGAGGGACAAAGGGAACAGGGGAAACATTTCAAGGGTTTCCCTCTTTCTTCTTGAGATGGGTCAGAATCGACCAGATGTTAAATCCAGAACTGGGGAGAGGGGAGGGTGAAGAGTGGACCGGAGCCCAAAACAGCGTGGTCAGCATCTCCCTGTGCCCCCAAGCTCAAGCCCCAAAACTGTGCGGTGGCGAGGCCGAAACCTGGTCCCCGCCCCAGGTCTGAATCCCCGAGGCTGGGCCCGAGTTATTTTGCACAGCTTCGTTTCACACCTCCCAGCCTGGTGTTTTGCTGGTGTTTCTGCAGCGTGCCCTGCCGAGAAGCACATGTTAGCCATCTGGCACCGCAGCCTGAAAAGGAAAAAAAAATGAGGACACAACACACACACGCACACACACACACATGCACACAGAGCTTGGGAGGTTTAAAGAGACAAAAACCTCGCCTGCTGTGGCTTTTGTTGGAAGTGTCTGAGACAGCCCTGCAGAGCGAGAGGAGAGATTGCTGGAAGAGGCTGGCGGAGGGGAGGATAGTTTCACTAGGCAGGTTTGCGTGTGTGTGTGTGTGTGTGTGTGTGTGTGTGTGTGTGTGTGTGTGATTTGGTGCGGGGGGGACTGTTGCAGGCAGGGGAAGGCGTGACCTGCATGGAGAATGCCAGACAACTCCAGAGACACACACGCACACTCACAAATCTCCGAACAAAGATAAGGCACGGAGCGCGGAGAGCTGGGAACCAGACAGCCCTCCTCCCCAAAATCCCCCCCTTCCCCACCCCTCTCCTTTCACACACATCAGGAGATACCCACGGGAGCGAGATGAGGTGAGTACCCAGCTGGGAAATGGGCACGGGGATCTGGGGTGGGCACTGTGTCTCTGGCCGACACTTCTCTTGGGTGCCTGCTGTTTTCATTGCATGACTTGACTCCTTGCCGGAGCGGGGAATATGTGCCAGAGACCCGTGAGACCCCTCGCCAGGTTAGCTGCCTGGCAAGGGAAGAGAGGAAGACTGCTGCCATTCGTGATTTATTAGCGCAGCGTTCACTATGCAGGACAGGAGGAGCATAAAGGGAGGCTTTACATATCGCGTGTTGCTGAAGTCGCTGGTCACTCGTGCCTTCGGGTAAGACTTTCCTGGCACAGCAGAGAAGTTCAGTCTGCTTTTCCTCCTCCGTAACACAGAAAGCAAAGCAAAGGCGTGAATGGGCCAGGTCATCAGGAGCTCCATCCAAGCCAATAAAGCAACACCCCTTTACCCCATTGAGGATACGGTCCCCCTCCGCACCCCCGTGCGTGTCCTCCGACCAGAAGAGAGACAGACTTTCCCTTTGCACATTTCTGTGGTTTCAGAGAAGCCGTCAGAAAATTGCATGTTAAGCCTCGCTTGAGCCGAGAGCAAATCGATCCAAATTCCGTTGCTCTCATTAACTTTCTCTGCTTGTAGCCGAAAGCTGAGGGAAGCGTGTCTGGTCCTGGGATCAGCCTCCTGGAAACCTAGTGCCCGGCTGCAAACACAACACGGACAGGTTGCAAATAATCCCGAGAGATAGTTTCAATTTCCTCACCGCGAGGCCGTGACGCAGAGCCCCTATTTTGCAAATATTTATGCATGCACGTGGAGGTCACTCTATGGCCTTCAATGGCAAGTGCATGGACCTATACAGGGAAAAGGCCTCCAGAACAGGGTTCAGGAAACAGAGCCAGGGCTTTTCCTGGGTCTGACTTTCTGCATCCATCGGGCACTTCATCAGCTTGGAGAATGGAATAAAACAGCCTCGGCCTTGTTCATTTTGCCTTCCTGGTTCCCATCCACTAGCAGCAGGATCCGGGGTCAGGAGCGGACTGTGCCAGGCCATGCACGTTTCCTGATTGCATTGATTTATGGGTTAGAAAGACTTTGATCCCATTTGAAGTTGTGTCCCATGAGGCTGGGAACCAGGGCACTGGGGTCGTTATTCCCATCAGAGACACTAACTGCCTTCTAATTCAGGGCAACTCCAGTGCGTGTTAGGCACCTGAGTGCCATTCAGGGTCTGAGCCCCCAACGCCTTTATGTGCCTCAGTTTGCCCATCCATAAAATGGGTATGATGGGAAGAAAGGAAAAAAAACCCACACAAATGGAGAAAGGCAAATGAATAGTAATGAACCACAGACTCCTGCTGCACAGCAAATACAATATGTCCCTTGTAGTGCCGCTATGCAGAGAGAAATCTGACTCATCGGTCCAGGTTGGGTGAGATGAGGGTCAGCAGCAGCAATAAATAACGATGCTTGGCTGGGAGAGCTGTAGGATGCTTCCAGGAAGCCTAGTCAGGAAGTCTCTTTATTGTACTGGATCGCCTTCTGTTTATTCTGCTATTAAATGAAGATGTTTCCATCAAAGCGGCATGGATGAGGAGGAGGTGCTGCCCGCGGCTAGAGCTTCCTCGGGGCATAGAGCAAAAATGTTGTGTTTCGATATGAAATATTTGTCTATGCTGCAATGTGTATGGTACCTATCCTGTAAGGGACTGGACTCCTCGCTGCTCCCGGAGCAGCCCTGGGCCTGAGCCGCCAGCCCAATGCTGGATGGTGCTGTGCTGGGGAAGGCTCCATCATCTGGAGGAAATCAAAACCTAACGACCTGCAGGCATTAACGAGCGGGCCATGAGCTTCGGGATCTGCCTGTATCCCATGATGGAGTCATTGCCACCTGCCTGAGAAGAAGCCCCCTCTGAGTGAGCCAATCCTTTTTTTCTCAGTCAAAACCACCCTAGGCTGGTAGCATGCCCTTTGCAAAGTTGACCCCCCTTTAAAATGGGGCAAAGCCAGCCCTGGACCCGATCCCTCCAAACCTTGGGGTATCTGAGACCTACTTCAGACCCAAATTTTGCACCTAGGCCTTCCCTTCATAACGTAGGACTGCCTTTGATCTCATGGGGAAAGTAGATGATGTCTTTGATGGGTTCAGTATGGAGGTTTGATCTCTGTGCGTCTTTTGCAGGTACCTTCTGGCCTGGTCCCTCTGTGCCTTCCTGCTCTGTAACACAGATGCCGTCGAGCTGACGGATATGTTTGGGGAGATCCAGTCCCCTAACTTCCCAGACTCCTACCCCAGTGACTCTGAAGTGACTTGGAATATTTCAGTGCCTGACGGATTTAGGATCAAACTGTACTTCATGCATTTTGACCTGGAATCATCCTATCTCTGCGAATATGACTATGTGAAGGTAAGCCACTTAACCTAAATGTAAACCCTGGCTATTGTGGGTTAAACTAAGAGGCTGAAAGGAGGCAGAGAAAAGGGCTTTGTGTAGCTACGACACAATGCAGGCAATTTTTCTTTTCATGCATTGGGCATGGAGGTGCTTTTGCTCAGCTGGTGTGTATCAGCCGATGGTTAGAGGAAAGAGCAGGAAAGGCCGTGCCTTGAATTGAACTAAGCAAAGTGATGTGACAAGACAGAGGCAAGGCTGCGTTACCCCCGAAGACCCAGATTCTCAAAAGCTCCTGGCATCGTGTTAAGGCACTTGCCTGCTGCGGACATCAAGGGAAGTCGGGAGCCTGTATACCTTTGCAAACTTAGGTCAAAGAGCCAGGTCCCATCCCGTCGTGATGTTCATGTAGAAGGTTTGCTTGGAACCGCGCCGGCGTCGTAGCAGCTTGGAGCGGCAGCGCAGTCAGGATGTCATGTGAGACGCAAGGACCACGGGCAAATGCATCCTTCACTGGGGAAGGGGCTTTCCCTGTGCCTGCTAACTGAAGCTGGCCGGCTCTGCCTCACCATTTGGGAAGCCTCCCAGTTTGGAGGGGATCTCTTCCTACAAAATGAAGTGACAAGCCCTGGGCTTGACCTACCAAGTCTGGATCAGCATATGGGTTTTTCCAAAGTTTGGTGGCTTTCAGACCCAAAGATGTTCTTCAATTTAGTCGGCAGATTAGTCTTTGGGTAAATCTGATACCTTTTATATCTGCTTCCTCAGCCTGACAATGGGTATTTATACCCAAAAGCTTGCAAAGAAGAATTTTTCCAACTATTTGAGTAGGTTTAATAAAAAATATCAGATTTACCCAAAGACCCTTGTCTGCCTATGTCCTTTGACCAATCGACTACAACCCACACCCCTGCAATTCAGTATAGAGACAAGGATCCGCTACTGAAGTTTGTACCTGAGATTCAAGGCCATCTCCCGACATTACTGAAACAGGAGAGCAGGGCATTATCATTAATTCTCTCCCTCCTCAAGCTGAAAGTTTTCTGGGAGCTATAACAGCCACAAGCAGAGCAAAGTTTCAGTCCTACTTCTCCTTTGATAGATCACATCTCCAGCAGCATCAGGGTTTCCTACCCCCAGACTAAGACAAATGGAGAGCTGGTGCTTCAAATCACCCGTAGCAAGACGGCAAGTGTCCCTTCACCGAGGTCTCTCCTTCATCAACGCATCAAGTCCTGGCCTGCTTAGTTTCTAGGTAGGGAACGGTAATCATTCCCATTCTCCGTTCCCCCTGGGAGACAGGCACGTTTGACCCCGGGGTAGATTGTCGGTAGAAATGAATTTGTCATAAGCCACCAGTCAAACAGCAGCTCTAAAGATGAGTTTCAGAGCCTGGCCCTGTCTCTCATTTAGATTTTTGCTTTGAAAACAATAATACAAATACAAAACATTTGTATTCTTGGTTCCTGTTTTTGTGGCGGCTGCTTTAATTCCCTCATTATGCTGCCACGCTTTCTTCTGCTAACAGATCTCGCTGCTATTTGATTAGTTTGTTCTGCTTTTTTCTGGATCTTCTCCAAGTACAAAGATCATGGACATATATACATATATATATATCTATATATAGATACACACACACACATATATATACACACACATCCCCCTCCAAAACTTGAGAAAAAGTTATAAGCTTTAAGCGAGAATTTCTTGGAAGCCCCCTCAACTCCAGGCATTATTCCCTCCCCCAGCCCCTGATATCCACAGCCCCCGTACTTTGTGTCACAAACATGCCTTTTTATTCACACTTGATGGTTTTTGGCATCACAGCCCTTTATGCGGCTGGGTTTTCATGAGAAGCCTGGATTTTTCACAGGGATTTCGACCTCAGCTGTATAAATTTGCTTACAGCGTCTCAGCCAGGGAATGACATCCTTGCTGCAAAATGCCCAGAAGCATCCATCTGGCCATTTGGACGATGACATGTAAACTATTCGGATTCACTTAGTTGGAATAATTACGAAGGTCCAAGCTGGATGACCTGGACGGAAAAAACAAGGAGAGCATCCAAGTGGACGTGTGAAGCTATGAGAGCTTCTTTCTTTGTTTCATGTCTCCAGCTTTTGCTGATAGCGGAGGACTTTTGGAAGGAAATGCAGACTTTAAGGTGTAGCCTCAAACCCACTGAACCCAGCAGTAAGCTCTCTATTGACTTTGCAGATTTTTGGATCGCAGTCTAAGACTGTCTGTACAACATCATCTCTGCCCCAGGATCTGGGCTAAGGACATCTGTGCTCCTCCTGTGTGACCGTCACTGTAATGCAGAAGAAAGCCCTGTGCCGGGGTAGATAGGAACCAGTGATATGATAGGAGCAGGTCATTTCCCTCTCTTCATCTTCATCGTCACCACTGAGATCTAGAGCAATGTTAGCCAGTTAGTCTGTACACGTGTAAAGTGCTGTCGCTGAATTCAGAGCAAACGCCTAATCCTTTCTGAGCCGGTCAGCAACATATATGCAAATCTCACCTGCAGACGTACTCCTCTGAAGTGAAGAATAGCTTCTCCAGGAGCGCTAAGTGCATTTCTCATTGCAAATGGCATTTATAAAAAGGAGTATTAAGAAGAACTTGTCTCTCCTAAGGAAGTGATAATGAGCAAGGAACCAAGAGAGATGGAAAGCACCTCCTGTAGAAAGAGGGCGAATAGGACCAAAGTGAAACTCAGGAGGATGTGATGCCAAAAGATCTACACGGCTGCTTATGACCGCTCGAAAGCCAGGTTTAACACAGCTCAGGTGAATAAGTCTTGAGTTTTTATTCCCCACGGTGAGAGACAAGGGCACTTATTATCTGTAATAAATACAGTGCTTAATACACCAACCAAAAAGAAACTGTTCTCACCCCAAGGAAAAGGAAAGGCTGGACTGAGTATTGACACACGACGCCCCTTCATTTCACTGCAGAGTGTACAGCCAGCTCCCGGATCTGGGTTTGAAAATCACAACTTCAGGTCTAACAGTCATAGAAAATTCAGGTTGGAAGAGGTCACATCTAGTGCAACCCCCTGTTCAAAGCAGGACCAGCCCCAGCTACATCATCCAAGCCAAGGTTTCATCTACCTGGGACTTAAAAACCCCCAAGGATGGAGAGTCCACCAGCTCTCTGGGTCTTGACCCTGCAATTCATTATGAAACCCAGGGGTCTCTGGCATGGGAGCCAGCCCCTGACCGTTCAATGGTTGGGCTGGGGCCAGGAGTGGATGCACTGTCCAAGTCGAGTCCTGAGCCCAGGCAGCTCATCAGCCTAGGTGGTTAAGGCACCTTAGGGACTGTGGGTGCAACCCCCATGGGAGTGAGGTATCCAGCATCACGGCGCATCCCCTCTGGGTCCCAGTCTAACATCCAGATGCCCATGCACAGCTGAGCCACCTGGGAGCAGCGTGCAAGAAGAACCTAGAGCAAAGCTAAAACTCACACCTCTGAATGTGGATCAGAGCCCTTTTCCCATCTGTCCCTGTGCCCTGTGGACATGGCTGACACGGAGCTTAGTCCAGTATGATATTTAAGCATCCTCTTTTGCCAAGCTGGCTGCCTCACACTGCACCAAGTGAGGCAGTGTCACCACTTGTCCCTGGTGATGTCAGATCCTCCCTGTTCTTAGCACTTGGCCCAGATTCAGGAAAGCACTTGAGGTCATGCTTAAGACCAGTGGACTTCAAGGAGATCTCAGCAAGGGCTTAGAAGCATCTTTCATTTGCTTTTCCTGCACCGAGTCTTAGCAAAATGTGGATCAGGAAAGGGAGAGTCTTTTAGTCCTTGTCTACATTGGGAGCAGCTCTTCTGGAACGAGTGCCCAGAGCTTTCCATGTAGACGCAGCTCTGGGCTAACTCTGTCTTATTCCAGAAGGGTCTGTGCGCTCTGCAACAGCAGCTGAGTCCCTTTTCCCAGGTAGGCAGCCTTTCCTTGAATGTGCCTGCACAACCTGACACAGTGAGCCTCAGGCTTGGTCAGAGCCCCGCGCCCTTCTTCCATAGCAATGCTAGCAGGTGGAAGAAAGGAGGCATGACCACCAGCAAAGCAGCAGCTCTTTAGTAGAGGACCTGGGGGTGACAGGGGACAAGAAGCTGAATATGAGCCAGCAGTGTGCCCTTGTGCCAAGAAGGCTAACAGCATCCTGGCCTGCATTGGTAGGAGTGCTGCCAGCAGGGCAAGGGAAGTGATTTTTCCCCCTCTATTCAGCACTGGGGAGGCCACATCTGGAGCCCTGTGTCCAGCTGTGGGACCCCACTACAGAAAGGATGTGCAAAAATTGGAGAGAGTCCAGTGGAGGGCAATGGAAATGGTTGTGGGGCTGGGGGACAGGACTGGTGAGGAGAGGCTGGGGGAACTGGGCTGATTTCGTCTGGAGAAGAGAAGAGCGAGGGGGATTGAATAGCAGCCTTCACCTCCCTGCAGGGGGGCTGCAAAGAGGATGGAGCTGGGCTGGTCTCAGTGGGGGCAGATGACAGAAGGAGCAATGGGCTCCAGTTGCAGCAAAGGACATTTAAGTTGGATATTAGGAAAAACTGTCTCATGAGGAGGGTAATAAAGTACTGGAGCAAGCCACCCAGAGAGGTGGTGCAATCTCCATCCTTGGAGGTGTTGAAGACCCGGGTAGACAAATCCATGGCTGGGATGATGTAGTTGGGGCTGGTCCTGCTTTGAGCAGGACTCAGACTAGATGTTACCTCCTAAGGTCCTTTCCAGCCCTCTATGAAAGCCAGGAGACTTCCCTTTCAAGACTAGGACCCATCCAGTGGCTGTGGGGTTTGCACTCACAAATGCAGGCATGGACCTGGATGCAGGAGATGCAGGGGAGCCAAAAAAGGAGCCAAGCAATAGATGAGAGCTTTCTGGATAGTGAATGCCAGAAATGATGTAAGGTCAGGAGAGCTGCTGTCTCAGGGTTATTGTGAAAAGAGATTTGTGGCATAGTAACTGGGAGGTGATGGTAATGGTGTTGCATCTTCCTGAAAGCC